AATGAAATTTAGAGGAGCATTTTTTTATGCTGTCAAATTGCAATATAACAAGCATACTTATTCGAAATCAGAACAAGTTCTAGAGTAGCAAACTTTAGTAGTTGTACGTTGCATTTCAAAATAATAGTAACTTAATGTATAACTGAACGATAATGAAAATAAGAAACATAATGAGCAATATTTGCTATGAACGCTAGCTAAAGAGTTCTATCGCACTTTTCTGTACTAAGAAAAGAGTTGATGAATAAATCGCGCCATACGAGAAAATATTTTTCTTTCAAAGAAGGATCGTTACTTATCATGAAAATTTTGAAATCTTGATTTCAATATTTTCATATTATTGAACATCATGTATAGTTTAAACTTCATCAAAAGTACAAGATAGAGAAGATTAGCGTATATTTGATCGTGTACCACTTGGATACTAATTTGATCTTTGCTCTTCGAAGCCTTAAATAAATTAAACGCACATAGTTTTTTAAACGTACTTTGAATGATTGCCATTTAGCAGATAACTAAATAAAGAAAGTTTCAAAAGAAGCTTATCATTATTCAACCAAATCGATGGGTACTTGTTGGCGTTTGCAAGATGTTCTTGATAAGTTCGACTTTAAATTATTTGAACAGTTAGAATAAAATATACTAGAGCAAATCTTTGAACTAATTTATCAGTAAAATGTAAATTTTCATTCATAATCATTGTGTTGTCAAGGATGATACAGCAAAAACTGACATATGTGAATACCCTCATCAGTTTGGATGATTTTTAATACAATAACATTTTCATTGAAGTTTTGAATAAATTTCGAAAAGTATTATGAGAACTTCTCTTTCCCAATGAAGTTTCTGTATATTAAGCAAAAATTAATTGAAATTCTCAACATCAATAGTCTTTCGTAAAAGACGGTATCATCCTATTATCCATTTCAAAATATAAGAATAGTTACCATTTTTTGAAGAACTTTTGATAAGAACAAGGTATAGAGCTGTAGTTTTCACCATTTGAAAGAGCGGTGTCCGAACCATCGATTGTTGTAGAACGTAATAAGGCGAAAGATGCTTTTATACAGGTATCCTTGAATAAACACTGTTCCTTTGAGTATTGTCATCAATTTTCACAATAATCTTAGTTTAAATTATATCAACATCTAGCTCAAATTATCCATCTTTCACTAAAAAAGGAACGTGTGTTTTTTTTAAACCCAATTATAAAAAGAGGTTGACAGATAATGAAATATTTGATCATTTTATAGAGGAAAATGAGTGACTTGAGCTACACTTGGATATAATTTGAGTTGAGATTATTCTAAAAATTGATAACAATACTCAAAGGAACAGTGTTTATTGAAAGATAACTATATAAAAGCATCTCTCCCCTTATTAGTTCTATAAAGATCGATGATTCAAACATCGCTCTTTCAAATGATGAAAACTACAGCTCTCTATCTTGTTCTTGTCAAAAGTTATTCAAAAAAATGGTAACTATTCTTATATTAGGAAATTCTACATGTGTTCCCGAGCACAGGTACTTATCACTTAATGCAAACTAAACAAATTATCTACAAAGAGACAAGTCATTAAAAAAGTGGTTCAAAACTTAAGAAGCATTTATTTATCGAAAATGTAGAAAAAAAGTTCTTATTGATATAAACGGCTTCATACTGTTAAAATATGATGCTAATATCTGTTATAAGCATACCTAGCCATTAAATTGCAGTTTGGCCACTAGGAGCTTTGTAGTAATTGACAATTTTTTTATGAACTATAAATTCATATGTGGTTAGTTTGGAAGGAAACATTGTATCTAATTGAAATCAAGAAAGATTTGTTTGGATACATGAAAACGATCTTTCGTGTATCGTGTTCAGCAGTTTCGGTTATCACAATCATATTTTCAACTAAAACAGCTAATGTATTCGGAATCATTGAATTAAATAGTATCAATCTATATGTGTTTCAAACGTTTGTTATGACTTTTACTGGAATGAAAATAGGAAGTTTGGTCATCTCAGAACTAGTGCAAAAATTTATTTGAAAAATAAAAGTCATAAGAAAAGTTTGAAATACTCGTTGGTCAACACTATTCAGTGTGCTAATTTTGAATATATTAACTCTTCTACTTGAAAAGACGATTATGATAAAGCAATAGCATAAAATAGGACCAAAAAAGATCGTTCTCGCCTATCGGAACAAAACTTTTAATTCCAAATCGATTCATAAGTTTTTCTTCTAATCAATAATGCAATGCATTCACAACTGACGCAAAACTCAATCGATTGCTATAAAACCCAGAATGACTAAAATGTAATCTAGTGCATAAGATACCTTTTACTAATACCTATTAAAAAAAAGAAAAAAAGTTGGATCTTTTCAGAATAGTTTTTGATAGGAGCAAGATAGTGATCTACGGTTTTCACTGTTTTAAAGAGGAGATGAACATACATTGAAACTCGAATATCAGAGTTTCGCGAAGTTTTTAAAAAATTATGGCATTTTAGTAGATTGAAAAGGTGGATCTTTCGTTAAAATAAAACAGACAAAAAGTGAATTTTTTCTGTCAAAAACATGTAGTAAAATATAATAACTCATAAATGGCTAAACCTTTTAGCTATATAATAATAAGAATATTGAAAATATAATCGGATCCTAACGACATTGTATTATCACCTATGCATATACGATTGTCACTATTCCTTCTGTGAACGAAAAGAAAATGAGAAAGAGATACTTCAGTGTTTCTTCTCTTGTAGGAAAAAACCTAATAAATAAATGGTAATATTTTTTTTCTAAAACCTACAATGCGGAATGTAATACTAAAAGAGATAATTTAACAATGCAACTATGCAGAAACACTCATATGTATTTCTCGAGATTTCCTCTATTTAGTAGCACTCTTTGCCTATTGCGCCTTCATGCAATATTTCAAAGAGTATGTGCGAAGAGATGGCGTAGCATACCCCGATATCAATTCCAACAGCAGAACACAATGGATCGTAAATTTCAAACTTATCATTGCGGTTCCCTGTTTATTTGAATGCAAAACTTGTACTCATTAGCATCACAAAATTTGTTTTAGTCATGATCATGATTGAGCATATCGTTGAAAAATGGTTGAAAAATTGAGTGACATATTGATTACAGTATGCTTCTTTTTGAAAATTTTTTCAACTCCAAATAACAATATACTATCGAAATTCACGTCTGTCTTAGCTAGACATTGCGTAGTTTGAAATCGCATATGGCATTCTTTGTCACTTTTCCGAATTTCATGTAATGAATACAATAATATATATTTATCGCCTGATTTCGTTTCACAAGAGAGAGTATAATAAAGGATGGCTGTGAGTATAGGTAGAATAGTACAAAGTCCTACCCTACCTTTATTGGTTCGGCCTCTATCTTGACTATATAATAGTATTGACTTTTCTAATTTTCTTTTTCTCATTAATATTTAATTACTTAAGTATTGTTACACTTCAATAGCACTGCATTAGTGACACTTTAAATCTACTAATAAAAAAATAGACGTATTCTAGAAGTAATTATATTTTATGGTTCTATTTCATACATGTTCTGGGACCGTGATTAAAGTAGATTTGTTAGGAAGAAATTATGCGAAGAAAAATTTTTATATGAAGAAGGATAACTAAGTAATTCAGAATAAATTATATTATGTAAATAAAAATAAATAGACAAGCATATATATTTTCTTACAGGATGGAATATTAATGATTTATTGTTAATAAATTCTTTTTCTTTGTTTGTAGTTATTATTGCTGAAATAATCAAAATGGAGAGAAATGCAACCAATTCTTGCTATCATAATTTCCTTTTTAGAATTGTTATGTTTACAACGCTTGTAAAAAATCTTCGCTTATCAATTTTATCAGAGTACGAGAAACAACCATGAAAGCAAAAAAAAATAATAGAACTCGAAGAAGGACCAGATGATGAGAGTTTTGCAATTTTAATTAATCAATATGATACAGAATTTGATAAAGAGAGAGTTTATAGTCCTGCAATTATAGTTCGTAAAAACAAAAATAAGTTCCAATTTCGACTCCTAAAATGAGTGGTTGAGACTGGTTATTAATTGAGAGTATATCAAACAATTAATGAAAGTGCTTTTGCAGAAACTTGTATCTGTCACTTTTGAGATCTGCTAACATTTATAAATATATTCAAAGACCACTATGTTCAGAAGGTAAAACAAAACTAGCAAGATCATGATGTTATATCATATTTGCGTTGATTTGTAATTGTGTATTTATAAGAGTGGGTGGGTGGGCGGAGTGTGGGTGTGTTGTAAATCTTATTTAAATCGAATGATTCTGTTTTATACATAGCGTAGATAGAGACAAGATTGTAGGTCACAAGTATTATGTTGAAAATTATCTGACGCCTTTTATTAAACCCTCTCTACACAATAGAAGCCCACTTAGGTTGACATATGTACATACATAAAAAAAAGAAGCGAAATCGTTCCGTCAATAATATTCAATTTTTTTTATCAGTGGATTCTTCTCAGTAGAAGTTACTTTTGATCAACTTTATCGATTTTATGATCGATAGTTCGCTAAATTAAGCAAAGCATCTACTTTCAAATTTAAATAGTTTATTGATTTTGTGATGAGTTTTAAAGTTATTATACAAGTTTTTTTTAAACTTTTGTATTTAAGAAGTATAGATGTTTTAAAAACAAAAAAAAAAACTTATTTGGCGTTTTCTCAAGATATATGCTTTTCTCAATAATTTTTCTCTTGCTGTACCCAGCAACACTCTATAAGCAGATGATGATATCGATGAATTGTTGCTACTACTCCCATAACGATAATGCATTCAATGAGCTAGATGATGAAAAAAAAATGATAAATTAAAAAGAAAAAAAAATCTAGATAAGATATATGAAAATGTTATTTATTCATAAGTCTTTTCTTTGGTTCTTCTATTTATTCGAATAAATCAAATGAATCATCGAAAATTATATAAAGAATTAATCAAATTTACCAAGCAACAAGACCTGGAATATATTTTTCAATTAACGATAAATAATATGGTTTAAGTTCATCAATATTTGGTAAATCATGATCAGTTTTTGTATATAAATCAAATTTTTGAAAACGACGAACCGATTCCAACATACGAAGATCTTTTTCATTACACAAATACATATAATCATTGCCTGCATGCCTAAAAAGATTAATGAATATTAATAGAAAAAAAATAAATAAACAGCAACTCAAAAAAAAAAGATCTCATACCAAGGATAAAATGAATGATATCGTATTATATATAAACTTTCATCCGGTAATGTACATGTTGGATGATTAGACAAAACACGATAAAGATATTCATCATGTCCCCATGCCATCATACATTGATCAAGACCACAATTTGGTGTATACATGCCATATTTTGTTGAATAAATTGGATGATTTAAATCTGGATTATTTTCAAATGTATTTTTACGATAAACAATTTTTTCACTGAATTGACATCCAACAGGAAATGTATCACCAGTAACAGCCCATTGTGGTTCATTATACAATGCTAAAACTTTTCCACAATCATGTATAAGACCAGTTAAATGAAACCAATCTTGATCCGGATATATTTTTCGTATAGCTTCAGCTGTTTGAAATGCATGATAGATATTTGGCACATCAACATCAGGATCACTTTCATCAATAAATTCATTTAATTTTTCTAATGCTTGATAAATTGTCATACGATCATGATCAAATTTTAACCAACGATCATGTTGTTTACGAACAAAATCTACACATTGATATGTATGCATTTGTTTATATGTATTAAATACTCGTTGAGCGATAATACTATCATTTTCTGTTGGTTCGTCGATATAATGTCGAAAGGTAGCTGGATTTTCTACTTGTAACATGTTGAAAATATGTTTTTCTTTTTGTCTTAGGTGTCGAAGTTTATATACGAGTAGAAAAACAAATGTGAACTAACATTTTGTCCAATTAATTGATAAAACAATTCGTGGTAAACGATAGATAAAGTGTTAAATGACTTCGTTTTTTTTTGTTTATGTCTCATGTTTCATACGTTAGCATTTGATGTTGAGTATCTATGTGAAAATGGATAATGTAAAAAGGAATGAAAAAAAAACACTGACTGATCATCTTATCTTTCTGTTATTAATATCCTCTCTACTACAATTTCACCAAATGGAACGATTTTTCACTGCTAATAAATCAACACTCATGTTTGATACTCATAAGAAAAATGTTACTTTTTTTGAATACAGGAAACACCAAGCATTATTTTCAATCAGTACTGCAAACAATCTTCATGTCACTTAGATTTCTATCTTAGATACATATTCCTTTATTCAGTGTAACCTGAAAGTTCTAATCATCAAAAAGTGAAATTCTTCAAACGAACTATTGAAATTTTTTTAAAAATAATCTGTCAAAGACTTCATTTTCACAAAGTAACAAATGAAATCAAGAAAAAGATAATGCGAATTTTTTTGATAAATATATATGATAAAACGGTAGCTGATGGATGTACATTCGTCACATAATAAACATTCTGTATGACACATCAAAATGCAAAAGGAAAAAAAAATAACCAATTTTTACCAGTCATTCAGCAAACACATGATATTATTTACTAACATTATATGACTAAATGTGACCGTATATATTTGAGCTCAATCAGCACTACCATCGTTTAAGTGTTGAGTATTGAAAAATAAAATATCTCAATACAAAATGTAAAAGGTTTCAAAAACTATCATTGAAAAAATCTCTACTTGCACGGAGAGTTTTTTTTTTTTATAAAAAACTGAATAAAGATATTTCTATATCACTCGAATGATGTAAAGAATTAATAATACATTGATCATAAACGAATGCAGATTAAATCAGTAAATCTTAAATAAATCGATATTTGATTATCAATTAAAAATTACTTATATTTAAGATTTTTAAGATCACCTCGATCTCAATCATTTAATTCGTTATCAATAGTTAATTCATAATCAAACATAGATTTATTATTTCTTTTTTTTTCAACTAATTAATGTTCAGAATTAAAATCTAATTGTTCTCTTTCAAAACGACATGAATGAATTGATGATTAGACTCATCTTGATCTCAAAAATCAGAATTGAATCTAATTTCTAATGTAATTAAGATCAGCACTAGAGAGTAAACTATTTACTATAAATATTAATTTTGATCAATATCATACTATTTTGTCATTTGGGATGCTCCTGTTATTCAATTTATTTCTTTTTCATTGCATAAATTCAAATATGAAACAAGTAAAAGTTAGACGAGATAAAGAAAAAATGTGTCTTAGTTTTCTCATTGATATTTTCGAGAGTCGTATGTCAGATAAAAAACGAAGAGAATACCTTTTTTTTAATGACGAGTTACGTATCATTATCTATTTTTCGCTTACTTTGATGGTCTTTCTTACACTTGTAACAAGTATCCTTTATCACTATCGAAAATAATTGCGCATACATTGTCATCGACAAAAACAGCTAATGATACAGTAACCTGGATGGATACTAAATGAAATTCGTAAAACTTTTATGCATTATTACAGCTAAGTATATTGTGATAAGATTTTTTTCTTGCAATTAAATTAACTTTTTTTGTCAATCATTGTCTCATATTTGATGACAGTAGAAATTTTATGTAATATTGATACACTCAGATAGAAATATTGATGAAGATTTTTGCATAGGTTCATTACTCATGTTTGCAAACAACATCTAGCCTAAGTACTATAGATCATATTATGTTTCTTTCTCTAATTTTTTTACTGTGGAGTATTTCCTAATACTTCTAGTGGAGATCTAAATCAGAATGAAGATATATTTGATGAAATAATTCGTGTTAAGCTTCAAAAGAAAAATCTGAATTTCTATTCCAAATAAGTATCTATCTTCTCTAAAACTAGCACTTAACTTTGACAAGATTTTATCCATCATAGAATAGATTCGTCCGGGACGTTTGCTGTTTACAACAACAAAAAGGATGATGACTCGAATTTGCATGGAAAGATCTGAATTACTTTTCAACATTTCTATTCCGATTGTTCTTTATGAGTATTTCTTAATCAAACTATCAATTATTCTAAATCAGATAGGAGAAAGGAACATTTCATTATAAATGAAGTATACCAAATATATTATTACTATTGTCTTACTATTCTTTTTTTTTTTAAGAAATGTTGTTAATATTATTGACAATTGCCATCATTGCATTAGCAACATATTTATATTTAAAACCATTAATTGATAATCTATTTTATTCTGTTCCTCATGAACCGAAATATATCCATTCATATATACCTTTTATTGGTTTCGGACTCAAAATGTTCAAAGATCCAATTGAATTTATACGTTCATTTTATCTAAAATACGGAAAAACATTTGTCATCTATTTAGCATCAAAACGTTGGGTTTATTTCTATGATGAACAAACATTTTTAACAAAAGTATTAAAGTCATCTGATTTATCCATTGATGAATTTATCATTGATGCATCAGTTTATGGTCTCAGTGTTAGTCGTCAATGTGTTGAAAATGAAGATATTCAACAAATCACGTTAAAACAATATCATCAATACTTAATTGGAGATGAATTAGAAATCTTAAATAAACGTGTGCATGATTCACTCATCGAATCAATAAAACTTGATGCAAAGAAAGGTCAAGATAATCAAACTAGAATTGTCAATTTATTTGATTATTTTGGTGAATTTATGTTATATGCTGGTGCAGAAGGATTATTTGGACATTCATTTGTTATTGAACAACGAAATGCTACACCTAATTTCTATAAATTATTTCAAGAATTTGGTGACGCATGTAGATTAAGTTTTCTTCGCATACCATTTCGATCAATCCTACATAAATCAACATTTCAAAGTCGTCTTGAATTTGTTAAAAGATTTTCATCATTAAAATTAAATAATGGTGAATCAAAATTAATTCATGCACGAGAAGAGTTATTTCGTAGTGATAAATATAAACATTTATTTAGTCAATATGATATTGGAGCTCTTCAAGCAGGTATAATATGGGCGGCTGTAGTTAATACAGCAATAATGAGTTGTTGGTCATTAGTAGATTTATTACTTCATCCGGAAGCATTAGAAGCTGTTAAACAAGAATTGAAAGAAAATATTTCATCATCATCAACATTAATTTATGATAAAGAAACATTAGCTAAATTAAAAATATTAGAAAGTTGCATAAATGAATCCATGCGGCATATATTTAATACTGTTTCAGCACGTCAGGCAAAAATAGATACAATCATTGAATGTTTAGATAAAACAAAAGTTGGTTTAAGAAAAGGTGATATGCTTGTTTATCCAACATTTTTAAAACATTTTGATCCCAATTTATTTGGTCCAAATCCATATGAATATCAATATGATCGATTTATCAAAAAACCTAATGAACCAAAAGCACCTTCAGTTATGCTCTTTGGTTGTGGCCCTCATATGTGTCCTGGACGATTTTTGGCAATAAACGAAATTAAAATGTTAATAACAGTTATTATTCAACATATGGATATTGAATTTGTTAATATGACAGAGCAAGATAAAGATGATTATCGAAAAAAATTACCATATGATTATACAAAAATGATTAGTAGTGGTGGACCAAAAAAAGGTTATGAACATAAATTTGATATAAAATATTCGTATAAAAATTTGGATATTGAATAAAAAATCAATTTAATCAAGTATTATTTATATTATCGTTTCGTAAGGCATTTTTTTCGAACTTTCCAAGTGTTGTGATGAAATCAATCTTTGAATTTAATATATTGTTTTCCTTCATAGCTAATCTATAAATAAATATTCTTCGAAATTATCATCAAAAATTGCATGAATTCAATAGATATATGATCGAGCATAGAAAAATTCAAGTGCTCATAAAGTGAAAGTTGAAAATATATGATAGTATTATAGGACAGATGCTAAACAACAGATAGTGTATAACTGTTAGTAACAGTAACTGATCATTGCTGTGCGAGACAGCAGTAGACCATGGGACTAGTTAATGGGGAAATTATTTCGCTTTATGGAGAAATGGATAAAAAACAATGTGCTTAGATCCAACCAGAATGTCATACCATGTGCAGGAAGGGAAAAAATATAAACATATTCAAAGCCGCTAGGAGTGTTGAAGTAGATGTGATGTAGTCCCTTCTGATCGGCTCTCTCTTGCAAAGTCTGTGGTAAGTCCTCTGAAAAAATAATTTTTGTTGAGTATTTTATTGTTCAATTTCTACCGGAATATGGACAATATATAGAGCAATTAGAACTGTAATGACTTGGCTTCATTTCAATCAATATTCTAGTTAAACATTTTATAGGCAAGATCTAGGCCAAAACAGAACGTATAGAAATGAGAAGAAATATTGAAAATTTAGGTACAAGATAATGACATTATCTTGTAGTTACCTATATTTCTAAGAACTGTTCACATTTCTATACCTTGTATATTGACCAAGATATTGCTTATAAGATGTTTCACTAGGGTATGATGTCAAAATATTATTTTTGTTCTATATACTTCTTTTTACTTCTTCTCTTTCTTCTTTCACTCGCTTATCTGATCCTCCAGTACGTATAATCGTTTGATCTATTTGATTGTCTTTTCTCTACAAACAATCGAAAAAGATCATGATCTTTCTTTTAATTCTTTGCTACCTATTAACATGCATCGCTTGATCTTGACTTCTACATACAGAGTATCTCAAAAGTGAGCTTACACTTGACGTTATATAACATGAATATATTTGCAAATTATTTTTCATAGTTCGTTATTTATAAATTATTATTTACCGTCAGGAATGATGTTCAAAACACCCTATAAATAGTAAACAATGGTTTACAAATTATAAATAATAAATATTGATAAATAACCTTCAAATGGATGCAATGTGTATAGGGGAAAGTTTAAAGTGACTTTTGAGACATTCTATAGCATCTATCTAATAACATCTGCTTTTGTTTGATTTAGTCAGAGCGACTGTTAGTTATCGCTTAACGCGTTTAGTTATACAAAGAGAAAGATCTATTCTATCGTTCGCTTGGTTCTGGTAGAAATTCGACGATAAAATATTCAGCAAAAGTTATTATCGTCGGAATTGTTTACGAATTTCGATAGTTATGAAAATTCGACAATACTGTCACGATTCAGATGTAATTTTAGAAAATTTTAAAATTCTATTGGAAGTTCGGAACTGCCAAAATTCTGGTTTACCATCCCAGTTAGCTTGATATCCGTCTTATTAGGTGACATGTATAGACTAAAAGTTTCCATAGGGCAGCTTTTTTCGCCCTGTCCTGTCCTGTACTGCAGGACATGACAGGTTTCCCTGTAAAGAAAAAAAGAATACTGTAATGTCTATGTTTAAGTTCAAGTGGTGTTTTTGCTCTGTAAAATGATTCAAGAAAAAAAAAAGACTTGTGACTAACAAGAAATCATAATGAACCAAGGATAAGAGAGAAAAATTATTAAGGAAAAAAAATATTGTAAAGCTTTTTATAATTGTTTTTTCATTGATATCACGAACACAATTTCATCCACCTCCTTTGGCTTCAAACTTGTTCTTCGTTGATTTAAAAGTCATCCTACTGTTCACAATTTTAGTTTTATTTGACGCACTAAACTAATAAGAAGGTCACTAAAAATTATAAAACAATTTCTAGACTCAACCACAATTCACGAGAGAACATTCCCAAGTGTCTCATCGCTTTGGATCTGATATTTTTCTCACATGTAAATCTTAATGAGACTAGAAAAAGCCTAAAAGGATTTGTGCTTCTACGTCTTTATGAGCTGATATTTTAACCCATAAATAGATCTAATGATCCTTAAAATATTGCGAAAACTTCAGTCAAAGCAGATGTACTCTTCTCGAGATATTGGGATTTCAAAAAACGCTTATATTTTGCAAATATTTTATTCTTGATAGAAGTGCCATGCATAAGGTTAAAACCTTAGTAAATCAGCCATAGCTCAAGAACGGAGGCCTAATAGCACAAATTCTTTTAGGTTTTTTTCTAGTCTCAGTTCATTATGTATTCTATAGAATAAAAGACTTCAGAATCATGTGCTCTATCATTCTCTTCAGAATGGTGTAAAAGCTCGACAATAAAATCTTTAAAATAATGACTTTTTAATCTCTTGAAAAAAAAATGTACTAATTCCAGTTTTTTTTTTCTTTATTTCTCATTCATTTACTGGAAAGGATTAGACGTTTGACTTTGCATTTGAATATTGCTGATCACAATGATCAAGCAAAATAGAAAAAAAAACGAATAGTTTTTCGAACTTTGGTCATTCTCTATTGTGTACGTCATATGTGATTTTTGTGCACCTGTTGTTTTCATTATTCTCCTATATTATCCTCCACATACGTGCAACGTTAACTCGACTATAAAAAAAAATACGAATCAAAATTGTCATCTCTCATTCATTCACTAACATATAATGTCGTCGACATTCTCCTTCTTCATCCTGTTGTTAGTGGCAATAGTAACAATTGTGCATGGTGAGGCACTTGTAGACTACGATGATGAATCGTGTGTTCCTCAAGTTTACACGTATAGTGGCGAATGCTCGGCTACAGTAAGCGTGCATGGAGACTGCAAATCCTCAACAGTCGATTTGACTAATACTGAAATTGCGAATTCATGTACTGCAGTCAGTTTCTTTTGGTCTTATCCAACCAATAATTTAACAATAATAATCAAAACACCATTCACTGATAAAAAAGAAGCATTCAAAATTGATATTGACAACCAACAATTAATGCAATATGTCTCACATGTCTATCGCGTATTCGACGATGAAGAGTTCGAAGTAACAACAACTGCTGATCGACTCATTCAAGTTTCGTCAAACTATGAAATCGGTCTCAAGTTTCAAGGTCCACCTAATTTGATGTACTATGGTGTATTTATCAATTATAATGTTATTAAAAATGAGAACAAACAATAAAATAAAAGTATTTTAGAATCAGAAAAAACAAGGAATTCGTAATTTTCGACATATGGTTATCAGTGTTCGATATGGATCAATCTTTTGTGATTCAACCTGAGTCGAACACTAAATAGATGATCCCGAGTAGAGATCCTTAAATGTAATAAAGTAAAGCACACGCATATGAATAAAACATTTTTATATCAGTCACTAGACACCTACTAACTTTGGAGATAAGAATCACATATTTATATTTTATTCTTAACATTGGATGTATCATTAACGTATATTGTACGGAAGTTTATTGGATTTGAATGAACATTGTATTGAAAAAAGAATATAGAAAAACATTGGATAAATGGATTCAATGAATGTAGTTATATGTGGATAACCACGGCAAGTACTTCGAATATTTAATAAAATAAAAACTTGCTGAACTTCATAAGAGTATAATATGAAGATAATACACATCGAACCCAAAGATATTAGTTGAAGTATGATCAAATAGCATAGAAAAATAGACTATTCTTTTCTCTTGAAGACTATATAGAAAGAAAGTTTCTAAAAGCTTTTTATAAGGAATTACAACACCTCCACCACTACTTTTGGATTGCCCTAAGTAAGTCATATAGATATGCATCTGTGAGTGGATTGTTAGGAAAATAGATGTCGTATCGTAAAATAGAATACAAAAATGTCATGCTAAGGTGACACAAAATAGCTCTCATCAACGTCATTGAAATATCTTAAGAATAGCATCAGAATGTTCTTTATGCTGAAATCTATCAATCTATCGAGTTTTTCAAACGATACATCGAAGAAGAGATAGTGATCTAATGCATCTCTCCACTTTTTTACTATAAAATACTATCCAATTAGTCAACATTGTGAGATCATTTTCACCCTACACAACATATATCAAATTCAGTCTGGGCCCTCATAAAATGACCGAGTGGCAACTGAAACAATGAAAAAATACACATATTTTTTTATTCGAAAAATGAATAGTCATAAACACTATTTAACTGATGTGTTTAGCTCATTCTGTTCAGATTTCGATGCTCTATCTTTTGGTATGTTAAACAAAGAATTTCGTTATTTCATTGTCATCTAAAAAATTCCAGTTTATATAAATAAATCTAGATCTGCAATGAAAAGATCGATTAATAACTAATAGCTATGTTCAACAAATATTTTTTTAAACTGAAAAGTTACAAATGTCAAGAGCCACAAAAAGAAATACGATTAGTCTATATTTACATATCTTTGTTTAACTTCAAAATTCAAGGTCATGTAGAATAATAAATTATGTCCATTTTTATTTTATTGAAAGAACTTTTTGTTTGTAGTCTTTGCACATTTGATCGTTCTCCCTTCTTATTATAATAAACGAATGAAAAACACAACTATGCGTTAAATAGTTTCATTTATGAGCTTCGCATTTTTTGCAATATCGTGAATTCAAACTTCAGAGTTTAGGAGATAATTCGTGAACAGACCAACAACTTAAAATAAAACTCATCAAAAGTTAAGCTTTGACTTTCGTTTCAATCCGATAAAAATAAGAGTTTATGAAATGTCCCATGTTGGAGTGAAAAATATCAGTTGTTCAACATATGAACACTCGAAGTGAACGAAATGTCAAGCTCATCATCAAGTGGTTTATCCTTCGTTTCAGGCAAAGGTAAAGTCATCAGAACAGAAACGAATGCCAGACCCGCGTAGACAT